GGGGGGGGGGGGGGGCGATGACTAGATCACGTGTTCACGCTTTCCCGCTGTGAGACTTGACATTATTTCGTCGGCCGGCCGGATAGCGTGGTCGGTGGGGCTTGAAGAATCACACGACCGAGGAATTATTCTGCCTGACCCGGGATCGGAGCTCCTCGGTTACAGAGGCAAAGTCACAAGTTCGGTTGGTGGGTAGAAGCTGCGAGCGACGATCAATCAATCACTTGACAAATAGCAGCACGGCAACACTCGCCATCCCTTCCATCTCATGCATCCTTGGATGGTTTCTGTTTTCCTTGCCGAAACCAGGGATGTGGCGGAGAGGACTATCGAATCGACGTCCAGCGCTTGTCGCTATAGCCTTGAGGAAGTGCTGGAGCAGCCTGCGGGAAGCCTGAGTGCGGCTTGTGAAGCCGAAGTAGGCAGAATTTTGGAAGCCAAGGCGCACCATACGGCGGTGAGAATCGTGTCAAATTAGTAGACGGATCATTTTTTTTTTTCGCCAAAACCAGTCTCAACACAAACATAATCGCATCTTGTCAATTCATCAATCATTGAAGGTTCTGAGACAGAATCCTCGAACGTGCAATGAAAGTTCACAATAAAAGTAGATATTGCAGCGTTCTCTTATGTCCAGAGGTGCAATGACATGCACCAAGGTTGACACAAGGACCTGCGTCCAAACGGCTACGGATTCGGTGAACATACCTCGGTTGACACCCAAAACTCAATGGCAAGGCGACGCCCACCTAGTTTGCCGTGGTGTATCTTGTAGCTACGTGTGAGACCACAAGCCTTCGATGGTCTCGCATGTCAGGTCTATGTGTCGTGCATTCCAGTCCCATGGACAGAAACAACCGAAGGTGGACCAAGACTCATAGTTTATTCGTAAATCGACAATCGTTGTTGAACAAATCTAATCCACCCCCGCGGTACCCCAGCAGACCTTCCTAACGGCACTAGATGTTCACCGCGTGTTGTTGAACGATTCTCCGTCCGTTGGTCTGCAAAGTTCCCTTCCCATTTCCTCCGTGCCGCGTTGCTACTGTTGGTGCGTGCGCCCTCTGCGTTGATGCCACGTTTTCGTCAGGGCGCTGGCAAACCCAGGAGGGGAGGCGACAAAAATGGCAATGACGCCCCCACAACGAGCTCCCGGACAGGGCCCAAGAACGAACAGACGGAAGATCATGGGACACAGGCCGCGACGGTCGTGCTCATCTTCGTCAGCCTTGTGCTGGTGGCGGTCGTAGCCTTGGCGTGAGTACCACTTTTGGACTTTTGGAAGTCAAAAGGTGTATCTTCGCAGTCCAGCGTAGTACTCTGGTGGTATCTGATGCTGGCGTGCGTTGCTGTTCCGCACCTGGTTGAGGTCACGGTTTCATCAGATAGTTGTGAAACACCTCAGTCGACGGCAGTGCCTCTTTTGCATCACACTCTTCTTTCGTTGTTGTGAGATGGCAATGTTATGTCGCACTGAAGCTGCAAGTCCTTCGGTAGGAGCTATGCGCTGCGAGTGCCACACTCTTCGCATCCTCCGTTGCGCTCGATGGCATGCCCTTGCGGTGGGGTATTGTCAACAATCGGATATTTGCCTCCTTTCAAAGTGGTTTTACGAAGTGACAGCGCGTCCGTCCGTCTTTCGTGCATGCAGATACTGCGCAAGCGTCGGTCGACCGAAGCGGGGCGGTAGAAGGCTGCACAAAAAGGTAAGCTCGCTGCCAATAGGCGCCAGCTAATGTCAAGGACGTACTCGCTCGATGTCGCTCGTACGGATTGTTGATTGCGAGATGTCGACATTGAAAGCAGACGCGGCATTTGTTCATGGACCACTTCAATCGCTCTGAACTTGTTCAAGTAAAATCGAACGAGCAGTTTTAGTTTCTCGCAGGTCTACGGCTGCCAATTTGGGCTGTTTCCCCTTCCTCGTATCGTTGATTGTCATCGCTCAAGCAGAAACAAGAAAGGATCAGGGAGCGGGGTAAGAAGCGGCGATAGCGGCGGGCAGACTGCGTGCGATGGACAGGGTTGGGGGGCAACTCGACCCGGCGCTCTCCCCATGATCAACCCGCCGTTTGCAAGGCTTTGAGTTCTGCTGCGCCTGCTTTGTCCAGTTTTTGGGTAACCAGTTTTGCGCCAGGTCTAAATATGTAATTCGATTGAACCGGTCATCCGGTTAAACCGAATCCGATACCGAAACCGGCTTTGAAATACCTGAAGTTTTTCCCTTTGAACATTTCCCGAGCGTAGAAGCTTAAATATTGCCAAGAACGAACGCCCTTTGCCAACGGTGTCCGCCTCGAGTGCCAATCGTGGCAGACGCTTTTCTCAATGAGAACGTGCTTGTTATATCCCCTAATTTTACATTTGGTGAACATTTTGGGATGCCAACAACCAGCACCTTCCGCCGTGTGGAGTGGGGCTCGGCAACAACAATCAGAAAACTCAAGGTCACCTCAATAGTGGATGCGCATCCGCTTCGTCTCGCGGAGGTATCGTATTACCAGCAAAGCGTTGCAAGCATCTTATAATACAGCTCACCCAGCCGAGGAACGCGTTCTGCACCATGCATAAACTTCACGATTGTGCTCCTGTCACAGATATCAGGTTTTTTGAGTTGCGCGCAAACTTCTTTCGTTGATAAAATTTGACTGTACATGCCCCCAACGTTTTTGCTTTGTCCATAGATATTCTCAACGGTAGCAGCAGTGCAAACCAAGTGCCTCAACATAAAATCGACTTTCGTACAGCGCGCCTCGGGTCATATATATAACGCGCCTCGGGTCTCAAGGGGCTGGACCCCCCAACGCGCGGTCAGACCACGTGGCGTCCGCACTGTTTGTCCTCCAGTCGTAGTCGAAAAATTCTATTCTCGGGTCCTTCTGGATAGGGGATCCGGTCCAGCGACTCCTGATGAAGGCCTCAACGCCGCCCTCCTTGTCGAAGTCCTCCTTGTACCACTTGAAGATTGGGTTGACGCTGAGGGCTTTTCCGTCCTCCTTGAGTTGCACCATGGCGCCCCCATTGATTGCCGCGGATGTTACCTGAAAGCACGACCACGCTCACGTCAAATGCAGTATCGCGCTACCATGATGCGAGCAAACTACGCATAAGAACGTTGGAGTAGGAGTCTCTGATTCAACGCCGCTGCGCGATGCGGCGAACCGCATACAATACAACCCTGAACTTAACGAAGAAAATCTTGTTGTAGCAAGGTGATGGAAGTAGAGTCCAACCAAGCATTTTGGCGATGCACTAAATAGAATAATGGTGCCATTGCTGTACAACGGAAACGCATCCAATACACGCAGGAACAGACGTACCTGTTCGATAGCGTCACTCTTGCGGCGGACCCAGTCCATGGATCAAAATAAGCCTTCCCGATGAAACATCGAGCACGTGACTAGCAGTGACAGTAACAGTCGCATGGCAAAGTTCACCTCGTCAAGTTCTGCATCCAAGCCAGGCCCAGTGAACAGCTTCCTCCGCAAGGGGGGACATGACATCGACGCACAGTTCAGGGCGAAGTGAACCCGAGCGTCGTTCAAATCCGGTCGAATGACCTGTGTGGGATATGCAGAGAGAGCCGATCTCTATTCGATTGGTTCTTCAAAAACAAAACGCGGGTGTTCGAACCACGAATCGCAAGGCATGAGCTGTGCGGTAGCAGAGGAAGTTGCACATTCGCTGCACACATCTGACGGCTTCCGGGAAAATGGGACATGTGAGAATGTACGACGAGATACACACGATCGAGGCGCCGGCAGGCGGCACAAGCCTGGTTCAACTGACGGCGTGTTACACGCGAAACTCAACCGGGTTCTCTCACCCGTGTTTGCCCCGCAAGCCTTCCTTCCTGTTCGTGTAACACTGCCGGTGACTTAAGTTTGAGCGTGAGGGTAGCCCAGAAAGTTCTGTTCGCCAAAAGCTCTGACCAGCGCGAACGTAGAACAAGTTTGTTTAATGCAAGTTACGATGTGGCAACGCAACCAACCACATCTTCTAAACTAGAATTGACACATCCCACCTTGTTCTCGAAGTTGTAGAGGTTCCATCTACCGGCGCCCGTAGACACCTTGTGCCAGTAGAAGAATCGCGCCTTGGCCAACATGGAGACGGCTCCCTTGAAGCCAGGACACCTCCTCTCGCGGATAACGTAGTGCAGTGTCCATAGGTTGTACGCGTTGATCAAAAAGGCGTGCCGCTCGGCATCCGTCTCCGTAGGGTTGTTGCTCTTGATGCTCAAAATTACCGGAGCTAGCCATTCCTTTTCCTCCGCTGCCAACCTTCCGTAGTCCACCAGGTTTGACTCCTTCACGTACTCGCTCAACCGATCGGCCGGCGGCCAGGCTAAAATAGTAGGAAGTATGCATCAGTACAGGTTTAGATGTTGCGTTTTAGGGCAAGAAGAGTAGGTCAGGGCGCAGGTTACAGGCGGAACGAGTTCGATGGCACCAATCACCACTCCATTTCTAGCATCCCCCCCCCCCCCCCC